AGGGGCTGCGGGCAGAGCACGGGCGGGGGACGGGCAGGGGCGGCAGGCAGAGCACGGGCGGGGGACGGGGCTACCTTGACCTCCCGCCTCTTGCTGTCCTCGTCCTCCTCGTGCTCCACCACGCCCTGGCTCAGGTTGGTGTAGTTGGCCAGCTTGTTGAGCAGGGACGACACCATGGGGTTGCTGTCCATCTCCTCCTGTTGGGCAGGGCACGGCGGTTACCCCAGCCCCGTGTGGACACCACGTGCCCACCTCCCCTTGCTGGCAGGGCTCCCCCCTCTGCAGCTCAGCTCTGCAGCTCAGCTCGGCGCCCGGTGCTGGAGCCCGGCGGTCTGCGGTCAGAAGCTAGGGGCTCCAGGCCACCCTGAGCGGGACCACCCACCCAGGCAGGGGAGCCAGGTTCCCGAGACGGTCCAGGGCGCAGGGCCCCGAGGGCTCCCTAGGACCCGAGCATCCTTAGACCCAGGGGGCCGTCAGGAGAAGGCGTGGGCCGGGGAGCATCCCGTGGGTCGGCCCGGCTCCCCCCAGCACTGTCCGCTCTCGTCTCTGCCTGAGAACCCCGGCCCATCCTCAGACCGGGGACCCCAGGCCCAGCACGTTGGTACTTTTCCACGTTACAGCGACTGCCCTGGGTACCTTCTCTTCATGGAAATAAAATTACCTCAAAAAGCGCCATATTCTTTCCTTCAAAGAAACTCTCCCTCTCGGCCTCGACGCTGTTAGCGAACATGCCGCTCTCTCTTGCGCTTCCATCTCCTGTCGGGAAGACACCTCGGCGTCAGTTCCAGGAGGAGCTGACGGGAAACGAGAGGAGGACGGGGAGCGGGGCCACCGGGGACGCGGTCTGCGCCTGGTGTCCGCTGCCAGGGCGACACTCTCACCAACACTCTCCTTCTTCCACGCAGCCGTGCTCGAGGACAGTCAGGCACGTTCCCAGGCGCAACGACGCTTTTTTTTTTTTTTTTAAACAAAGCATCAAGAAGCATCAGGAAGCATCAGGAAGAATCGGGAAGCGTCGGGAAGAATCAGGAAGTGTCGGGAAACATCAGGAAGCATCGGGAAGCATCACAAGCGTCGGGAAGAATCACAAGCATCGGGAAGCATCGGGAAGAATCAGAAAGTGTTGGGAAGCATCAGAAAGCATCGGGAAGCATCACAAGCATCGGGAAGAATCAGGAAGCATCGGGAAGAATCGGGAAGCATCGGGAAGAATCAGGAAGTGTCGGGAAACATCAGGAAGCATCGGGAAGAATCAGGAAACATCGGGAAGAATCGGGAAGAATCAGAAAGTGTCGGGAAGCATCACAAGCATCGGGAAGAATCAGGAAGCATCGGGAAGAATCAGAAAGTGTCGGGAAGCATCAGGAAGCATCAGGAAGCATCGGGAAGTATCGGGAAGCATCACAAGCATCGGGAAGAATCAGGAAGTGTCGGGAAACATCAGGAAGCATCGGGAAACATCAGGAAACATCGGGAAGAATCGGGAAGAATCAGAAAGTGTCGGGAAGCATCAGGAAGCATCGGGAAGCATCAGGAAGCATCGGGAAGTATCGGGAAGCATCACAAGCATCGGGAAGAATCAGGAAGCATCGGGAAGAATCGGGAAGCATCGGGAAGAATCAGGAAGCATCAGGAAGCACCAGGAAGAATCAGAAAGTGTTGGGAAGTGTCAGGAAGAATCAGAAAGTGTTGGGAAGCATCAGAAGCATCGGGAAGAATTGGGAAGCATCAGGAAGTGTCGGGCAGCATCGGGAAGAATCAGAAGCATCGGGAAGAATTGGGAAGCAACAGGAAGTGTCTAGAAGCATCAGGAAGAATCAGAAAATGCCAGGAAGTGTTGGGAAGTGCCAAGAAGCATCAGGAAGAATCAGAAAGTGTCAGGAAGCATCAGGAAGAATCAAAGTGTGGGGAAGCATCAGAAGCATCGGGAAGAATTGGGAAGCATCAGGAAGTGTCGGGAAGCATCAGGAAGAATCAGAAAGTGATGGGAAGTGTCAAGAAGCATCGGGAAGAATCAGAAAGTGTCAGGAAGCATCAGGAAGAATCAAAGTGTTGGGAAGCATCAGAAGCATCGGGAAGAATTGGGAAGCATCGGGAAGAATTGAGAAGCAACAGGAAGTGTCGGGAAGCATCAGGAAGAAGCAGAAAGTATTGGGAAGCATCAGAAGCATCGGGAAGAATTGAGAAGCATCAAGAAGTGTCGGGAAGAATCAGAAAGTGTCAGGAAGCATCAGGAAGAATCAGAAAGTGTTGGGAAGCATCAGAAGCATCGGGAAGAATCAGGAAGCATCAGGAAGTGTCTAGAAGCATCAGGAAGAATCAGAAAATGCCAGGAAGTGTTGGGGAGTGCCAAGAAGCATCAGGAAGAATCAGAAAGTGCTGGGAAGCATCAGGAAGTATCGGGAAGAATCAGGAAACATCAGGAAGAATTGGGAAGCATCAGGAAGAATCAGGAAGCATCAGGAAGAACTGGAAAGCGTCAGGAAGAATCAGAAGCATCAGGAAGTGTTGGGAAGCATCAGGAAGAATTGGGAAGCGTCAGGAAGCATCGGGAAGCACCGGGAAGCGTCGGAAGCATCAGGAAGTGTCGGGAAGCATCAAGAAGAATCGGGAAGCATCAGGAAGAATCAGGAAACATCACGAAGTGTCAGGAAGCAAGCTGCTCACCCCAGAAGAACCTGCAAAATGGCAAGTCCCTCCTGGCCTTGAAAATCTCTCTCGACTGTAAAGCTGAGTAAAATTCTCAGTTTCAAAAGCCAGGGCTACACCTCCTGATCCTTGCTGCTTAATCCGCCTTTCTAAAAGTGGGACTGAAAGGTTCTCCTGCTCTGCTCCACGAGCAGGGACACCTGACATCACCAGCAGCGAGTTGGCCTCCCCACTCAATGACCCGTCTCCTGCCTCCCTCCCAAGGGCTGGGGTAAATCACCCGGGGACCCCAAGGAGGAGGTGGGCACCCATGGGCCCAGGGTGATGGAGTGGGGGCCAGTGAGGACCACTGGCCCCGAGAACTGCTGGCATCTGAAGCCTGAGGGACAGCCCAGCAGTCATCCTTCTCTGACAATACAGAACACATGTGCTCTGGTATTTTGTCCCCTCCAAACTTCACGTGAGGAAATTTAACCCAATGCAACAGTGCTGGGAGGTGGGCCTTTTGGGAGGGGACCAGGTCTTGAGGGCTCTGGCCTCAAGGATGGCACTAAGGCCCTCATAAAGGACACCACAGGTGGGTGGCCCTTTTGCCGTCCTGCCCCATGAGGACACAGTGCTGCTCCCACTGGAGGATGCAGACAGCAGGCCCTCACCAGACACCAAACGGGCCAGTGCCTTCATCTGTGACTTGAACCTAAACAATCGTGAGAAATGTTTCTGTCCGTTACAGACAACCCAGTCTCAGGGACTGTGGAGGGTGGCTCAGATGGCACATGACACGTGTCACAGGCAGCATCACGCTCTTCCTGGAACCACAACTGGGACAGGTTCACCCTGCTGTGGCCCCTCCAGAGCCACGTGCTGGGTGGCCCCACACATACAGGCTGCAGCCCATGCATCACGCACTAGACACCTCCCCAAGTCCTTAAGCATCCAGCAAGTGAACAATCCAGTGACCAGAGGGACTGGGACAGGTTCACCCTGCTGTGGCCCCTCCAGAGCCAGGTGCTGGGTGGCCCCACACATACAGGCTGCAGCCCATGCATCATGCACTAGACACCTCCCCAAGTCCTTAAGCATCCAGCAAGTGAACAATCCAGTGACCAGAGGGGATGGGACCAGGCCGCCAGGGACTGCCCCCTGTGCTGACCTCTGACACTGCCCACCCCCACCCACCGCATAGGCACCTGATCATCTGTGATCCTGCCCTCCAGTTCCAGCACACTCAGTTCACACCCAGGCAGTCTGGTCAGTGGGTGCTGGGCCCCAAGTACCAGCTCCTTCCTCGGCCAGGCCCTGGGAGAGATGCAGCCTCTGGAGAGAACCCCCCAAACAGCGGCCCTAACAACCACGGGGACCCAGGACCTTCCCCAGCCCAGTCCCCCCTTCTTCAGTGTCCCCACGTGCAAAATGTGCTTCAGACACATGGCATCCTGCCTCAACGTAAGCACCAAAGGCCTAAGGCCCAAATGTCTGTAGACAGAGTGAATGCTGAAGAAACGAGTCTGGAGGCAGCCATGCCCCACCGGGTGGGGTGGCAGGTGGCCAGGGACCCCTCCCCTTGGAGCGGAGAGACTCGAGACTTCGGATGAAAAAGACAGGGCCATGAGGCAGATTAGGAGGGACGGTCCCAACGTCGGGGCCTCGCTCTGGCTGCACAGCTGCTCCAAGGACCAGAAGCCTCAAGCCTGCAGATGCCACCTGTGGGGGCTGTGTGCACTGAGGCCATGCACGCCCAAGATAAAGGCTGAGTGAGGCAGTAACTTCTCTACACCAAAGGTACCTATATCAGAGGAGGGGGACCCAGTAAAAAGAACTAGGTTCGGGAACTTCAAGTCACAATCCACGCCCTTCTGGGTCCCACAACTCTTCCTGCTCCACTGAAACATCTGGGGACAGGTGCCTTAAAAACCCCACGGCTCCCCCTGCAGACCGGCCGTAACTTTCAGTGCTGTGAAGCGCTTGTGGACTGAGCAGACGGCGGTTTCACTGTTTTGATGGCAGCTTTGAGTTTCAAATCCCCCAAATCCTGATGGATTACGGCGGCCTTACTGTAATCCCCCATCCGTCAGAACCCAGCTTGCGGGTCCCCCTGACGCTGGGATACACCTCAGACCCATCCTGGAAGGAGGGTGGGCCCAGGTCCCAGGTCACCAACTCGCACAATCAAGCCTGCCCAGGGCCAGGTCGTGACCAGCCGCAAGTAGCTACCACGCTCACGCCTAGGTCCCAACAACGTGGGGCCTGATCACACATCCCCCACCTAAAGCGGAGGAAAAGCACGGCCGCCAGGGCCTGTTCTGGACACAGCATCACGCTGTCTGCGCTTTCCTCTGAGGGGCCCACCCAGATGCCCCCACTGCGGGTCCCCAGGGTTGTCCCTGGTCTCCCTCTGCCCTTCACCCGCCAACCTCCCCACGCCTGCCCCACCATCCCAAGACCCCTCATACCAAGCCCCTTACTTCCCATCTCTTCTGCAGGGTCCCTGGGGAACAGAGCTGCAGAGACCACGGTGCCAAGAGCTCACGGGCTGGGGTAGTGGGTGAGGACATGGCCACGGTACACCTCTCTGCAGTGTCTGACAGGGTGGGGGCCCTGAGGACCCCCTGAGGAATGTGACAAGGCCCCACCCTGCCCTGAGCTCAACCTAGCACCCCCGTGGGGCTCACACCCCACCAGCTCCAGCCACGGGCGCCAGGACCTCCGAGCAATTAGAGGCAGCGCGGGCCCACCATCACCCACGGCCTCTCAACACCCCGTCTGGGCAGCCCCTCCCATGAAAGCTACACAGCTTGCTTCTCACTGCCGAGTTCCAGCTCAGGGCAGAGTGCTCAGCCCAGAAGTGCTGGACGGGAGGCTGCCGTGGCCCTCAGGAGCTGCTGCTGAGGTGCAGGCCGTCTGCCTGGGATCTTGCTCTGAACAGCTCCGGTAGCAAGAGCGGGCCTGCACCGTCCTTCCCTGTGTTTCTCTAGCACTCATCTGCATCATACTTTGCAAAAGCCTTGTTCCCCTCCATGTGGAACTTAACACGTGGGCTGGGTCCTTTACCTGAGGGCTTGGAAGAGGGTGGAGGCAGGGTCTGCAGACCCATGCGCACATGTGCA